TTAAGTATTTATTTTCCTCTCGGCGGTGTCACCCAGAAACGCGTAGTTTCTCCCGAAGACTTTCTCTTTTTCAGTACGCGTGGCCGTGTGCGGTAGCAAAAGGCTTCTGGTGTTTTGGGGGCTCCGTGAGCAAATCCGTCGGAAGGGGGTTTGGCCCTGTGGAGCTGTCAGGCTGCGTGGGTGTCTTCAGGGCAAGTCGAATTCGGGTTTGGTACCAGCCACGCTCACCATGATGTTCCGCTTCCCTGTAGTCCCGTAGGATGTCTTACAGAGCGATGCTTTCTTAAAGAGGGAATCCTCAAAGTTTCAAAGGTTGGGGTTTTGTTTGTTTGTTTTTTGTATTGCTGCCTACACTCATTACGTGCCCCCCAAAAAAGCCATCTCCATGACTCTCAAGAAGAAATTATCTGAAATGTAAATGTATCCAAATTCTACCACAGAGATGTTAGTTTTGCTGTCTTGAGCTCAGAAAAACAACCCCATGATGGTTCTCTGGGAACTGCCATTGCCATGCCTTCTTGTATATTTAAAAATACAGATCTATGAACTATGAAAACATTACATAAGAATATTTCTGTAATTCATATATAATAAGCCAAGCATAAAATTATTCTGATCCTTTGGGACATAAACCACTTCAATTTTCTCAGTAGTCAAAGGGTTGTGTCTTGCATCTTTCTTTCGTTGGTATTCGAAGGCCACCAAATACATTTATTTTTTTAGGTCTTCGTCAGGTTATTTTTCGTGTTTTCTGTGAAGCGCATGAGTCCACGGCTCATCATAATATTTTCCTAGTAAATATGGTTCACAGATGAAATTATGGGCCTGCTGAGGTCTGTGAGAATTTTGCTGTATATTTCAACAGAACCAGCATTCCATCCAGTTGCTTTGTGCTAAAAATTTCAGTAATAACTTTCTGACGCTGCTTGGGAGCTCACAGGGGAGTGCTGGTTATGAACTGACATGTGGAGATCCTTAATTTATAGCAGAAAAATGTATAAACGGAAAAATTGCAGCTTAATTGTATGAAATAATAAACCTGAAAGCGTTTATACTTCTCTATGAACAGTTGCTAATATTAATCCCCCAAATTCCTAATCTGTTTTAGATGATGAGATCGCAGGCTCTAGATAAACCACATATGAGGTGATATGACTGTTAGGGCCCAATTCTGCTCCTGTTTGAAGTCAGCAATAAAATTTCTCTTGGCTTTAGGACTAAGAGCTTACAGATGATGAAAAGTAGAACTCAGCGTAGTGGGGAAACATGGAAAGCATAATTTTTGAAGTATTTTGTCAGTTTAAAAAAATAAATAGTAATTCTATCGTATCTTTCTGGATCTGAATGAAATAAGTGGGAAGTGACCTAGGCATTTTGATTGTAGGCATCGTTTGTTGTAAGGATTCTCAAATGGATTCTCAAAAGGATTTCTGGGTGTGCCAATGCTTCTGTAACAGCCAGTATCAAGTACTGAAAATTTTGCAGAAATTTGGAATAGAAGGTTTTACAGCCTGATTCCTCACAGCTCCTACCCCAGCCCCAGAGTTACTGCTTTTGCAGAGTTATGGCTGTGACAAGGGAAAAAGCCACACTTTTGCTTCAGGAGAGATTTCTTTTTTGGTAAAACTTCGGGTGTGGTAATAACTGATTTAGCTACTTGTACTCTTCTGTGTTCTATTTTTTTTTTTTTTTTAGTCATTAAAAAATAACCCCGTTAAGGAAACAATTCACAAACACTAATTCATAGATGGATGAACCACTCTAGCTCCTAATGTAAGCAATCAGAGGTGTTGTCTTCTCTCATAAGCAAATGAATTGCCTTGGGACAAGAGGTGGTGCAGAATGCCCTCACTGCATTTTGGCTGCTTTCTTTATTGAGGCATACCACTCCATTTGCCTTTGTATTTTGCCTTTAAAAAAAAAATCTTTTTTTTTTTTTTTTAAATAAATGTTTAAAAAGTTACTATTAAAAGAAGGTCCTGCTTGAGCTGCTGTGAGGGTCATGAAGTTCACACAGCATCTTCTGTGGGTCTATGTTTAAACTGTATTTATCCCTAAATGATTGGATTACTTTTACTTTTAGATGTGTGCTTTGTAAGTGACCATAACAAATGGTTTTGCTGAGTTACTAATTTTCATTTGAATCACAGTTTCTTTTATGAGCACGCAATATAGTTTCTGCCTTTAAGGCTGTAAACCAACCCAGTGAAAAATTACCTTTCCTCCTCCAGTGTAGGACTCCATTGAAACACATGCTTGCATTTCCTTAGGGTTAAGCAAAAGCTTAATAATGAGGCATGAATCTGTGATGTAGACCTTACAATAGTAAACATTACCATCAAATTTTCCCCAAATTCCCATCCCAAAGTACACCTCATTTTCACCTGACTAGACCTTACTGTGTCATCAATTGCCCATTTACAAACCCTGTCCCCCCAAAAAACCCAAATGTGAAGCAATGTGAAGGTCCACAGTTTTAGAAATAAAAGTAGTCCAGGAATATGCATGTTGGTGAAACTTCAACTCAGTTATGGGACACTAAACAAACACCTGAAGTTTCCTGGCACTGCTTATAAAGTAGCAATTTATTTTCAATTGCATGCGATGACTTTTTTTTTTTTTTTAATTTCTTTTAAGGCTCTGGCACCATGTTGAGTAAATAAAGTGCATATTAAAATACTGTCTAAATACAGCATGGGTATACAGTTGCCGGAGAAGTAGGAATAGTTTTGGGAGGAGTCATTCTGGTCTCTTGAGGAAATAAGCAGTGGTTTATAACTCTTTTAAAAAAATTATTTTAAAGACAAAATTAAATTTCAAAAGAAAAATGTTTAAATAATGTTCAGGTTGTAACAGAAATGGGGAAAAACCAGCAAATGTGGAGTCCAAGCTGACACTTGAAATTATGCTGCGTTAGTCTTCGATTAGAATTCCCAACTTTTTTTGTGTGTGTTCTATGTCAGAGCCTTAAGGTTATTAAAATTGCATGTTCTGTACCCTATTTCATTTAGATATTAAAAGCAGCCCTTCCAAGCTGTCTGTTGGAGTCGGCAATAGTGTCATTCTTGCATCCCTCACTTGAAGCCTGAGGCTTCTGCCAAACATAGGACATGCTGGTACATAAACATAAATGAGTAAAACGAATGCATGTATTTCTCATACGTGTTATAAACTCTAGGTGCTCTGACAATCTGTTGACAAACACTTAAAATATTAGACCCACAAGCAAATCCCTGGATACAACGGAAACCCCCTGTGATACTTTTCCACTCCAGTCATTCCTTTCCCGGTCCATTCGGTGAGAAACGCTTTTTGAACAGCGTAATGTAACATTTATTTTCTCCGTGTGACTGGAAAGACCTTGTAACCGAGAAATTAACAGTTATCTTTTATAGCCAATGGTACTTACCCTGAGCCGTTACTGAGTCTCTAGGTGGCCCTTACAGCGTTGGCACTTGGCTGCTTTCCTGCCTAGTTGTGTGGTCTCCGGCAGAGCGGATAAAGCTGTCCAGAAGGGTGCCCGTGGCTTCACATGTGTTTCTTGGGTAGTAACACAAGGAGGACTCTCAAACGCTAATTTGCTCCTTACTGATCAAACGAGTCAAATGAGGGATACAACCGCAGCACTCCAAGCAGGTAGAAGACACCAGTGTCCTCCGTTTTTTTTTTTTTCCACAGTTCTTCCCCTTTTTAATGCATGTGCCTCTTGGCAGTTCTGCTGTTTTATGGGGTTTTTGCAAGCAGTTGCTCATTTCTGGTGGTTTCTTCCAAGCTTCCCATGGGGAGGATCCCCTGAGAACCTCGTTCCCCAATCTCTCTCTCTTTCTGCCACATCCTTTGCTTTCCAGAACAACATGGAGACCATGGTACTTCTTGAAGGGGGGAAAGTGTGACAGCTGATGAGTTTCTTCCCGGCTGGTTGGTGACTTGAGCTGACTGAGCAGCCAAAAGAACTCAGAGCTTTGGGAAGCAGCAGAAATGGTGGAATAAGGGAGGCAAGAAAAGCTGTTCCTATGCTAGTAAATTAGGTTTGGAAGCGGGAGTGCCATTTTGAAGAACCTGATAGTTTCCGCTTACTGCACTTCTTGTAGTGTTTTTTTGTGTGTGTGCACAAACAACATTCTTTTCTGACACTGATACCTCATGATACTTAATGTCATATATAAAGATTTTCTGTCCTCATATGTCCTTTCGATATCACGTTGTGTATAATGAATAAAATTCAGAGATCTGAAAATTTTTTAACATTGTGACTGCATCTGTGTAACTTCTGTCAAAGATTCAGAGTAATGCGTGAGAAGGTGTAATTTGAAATTACAGATGCATCTCTTTTAAACTATACCTAAATATATTAGTTTCCTGTCTTGTTGCACATCTCTTGCCTTAAGCTTCATTACACTCAGATGCAGTGAACCAATTGAGAGGGGCAATGTGGCAGAACTTGGGATGCTCTAATTCAGACAGCAGGTGGATATAGCATGCACATCTTATTCTGCATGTATATTATGCAAGAAGCTGTACAAAGCTTCTGAGTCTGACTAAGGAACACTTAGCTACACTCATCTCCTGAATGAAAGAGTTTAGTCCACGGGTATTGCAGCTAGCTATGTCATAGAAATCCTTGTGTAGCACGAAATCTGTTCTTCCACCAGTGTAGGTCAGGAGCAATATTCCTAATGTCAGTGAGCTATGAGAACTCTTAACTGGGGTAATATACATGGAGAAAAGAGCTGGAAAAAGATGCATGCTACACAAATGAAATTCCGTTTGGACTTAGTTTAGCCTCTGACTTTCAATCACTATACATCAAAGCTTTTATCACTTGGTAATTTGGGAACAGCTTTCCAGCTGCTAAAGGCAAAATGCTTATCTTTTATAACTGCGCGTGCACACACACACACACACATTTCTTCTCTGGAACTGAAAATTTACTGTATAGCTGACTTCTGTTGATACCCGAAATCCACAACTGTGCTTTATTCCCTCAACTTCCTCCATATAGGATGGTCCGCACACTGTATGCCATCGGCACCGTGTGTCTTCTGATGGGATTTCTGCTACCGGCAGCAGAAGGGAGAAAGAGAAATCGTGGATCTCAAGGTGCTATCCCTCCTCCCGACAAAGATCAGCCCAATGATTCGGAGCAAATGCAGACACAGCAGCAGTCGGGCTCTAGGCATCGAGAACGAGGAAAAGGCACCTCGATGCCTGCTGAAGAGGTGCTGGAGTCTAGTCAGGAGGCACTGCACATCACCGAGCGCAAATATCTAAAGCGGGATTGGTGTAAAACTCAACCCCTCAAACAAACTATCCACGAAGAAGGCTGCAATAGTCGTACCATCATCAACAGGTTCTGCTACGGCCAGTGCAATTCCTTCTACATCCCCAGGCACGTCCGCAAAGAGGAAGGCTCCTTCCAGTCTTGTTCCTTCTGCAAGCCCAAGAAATTCACCACCATGACTGTTACACTCAATTGCCCTGAGCTTCAGCCCCCGAGAAAGAAGAAAAGAATCACCCGAGTTAAGGAATGCCCGTGTATATCTATTGACTTGGACTAAACTCAGAAAAATATGGTACCGATTGCACCCTGACTGTGCGCAATCCTTGCCAGCGTGAGAGTGAGTGGCATGAACTAGCGTAGCTTCCGGGATGGACAAAATTGTGAATTACTTAAAACAAGAAAAAAAAAAAAACAAAGAAAAAAATTGATGTGAGGGAAGGGCACACGTGTATGTTTGTGTGTAAGAGAGAAAATGGATGTGTCCAAACAGATATATGAATGTTCACTATGACAAAAAAGTTTAACAGGGGTATGACATGTTAAAAAAATCTAGTTACCTGCAGTCATGAATTAGGTTTCCTAGTGTATATTCACATTTTTGCTGCTTGCTGGGAAAGTGGAGCTGTGGCTTTTGCTAATGTTCACCTGCCGTGCTATTTGCTTTTACTGTATTAAAAGAAACATCAAAGCGAGAGGACAATATATTTGAAAGCATGAATCTATTGTTAAGTACAAAGTAGGCAAAAAGCAGTTTAAAGCGTAGCAAAACCATCACTGAAAATAGCAGCTGTATCAAGAGTTTGTAACATGCTTCTTCAAAAAAAAAAACCAACTGTAATCCAAAAGCCATGTCTGGAGAACAATGGGGGGACGCGGGCGTGTTGAAAAGTCACTATAGGTGGATGGAAAACAGAGCTGCAGCAAGTTAGAAAGCAAAAGGCCAAAGTAAGTAGACAAGGGGAATACAAAAGGGAGTAGAAAAAGGAAAGATGCATAAATAGGAAGACAGAGGAAGAGATATTGTCTTCTGTTTACGTTTTGCTTTAATTTATATACCTAGTCATATATTACATAAATTAAAGAGAAACTATATACAAGGCTATAAATATACTTCTGAATTCTAATGGCTCTCTAACTCAATCAAAACCCATTCTTGTGCCACTAGATCCATTCCATGTCTTGTATTTCTGATATCAGTTATTCTTCATATCTACATATATATGTATATGCAGTATCTTTTAGTCCTTGGTATCTATACGTACATGCAACGAGTATGCGTACTCCATTGTGCGTATCCGAACTCTCTCCTTCTCTTTTTCACACGCATACATAAAAAACATACATAACCACAGCACAAAAATCTTGCTAACCAAGATCAAGTACAGAATGGCAGTAATTTAGTACATAAAGAGCAAAGCAAAAATTAAAACAAGCATCATGTGACTGCAAATGCAATAACCACACAAGAGACAAAAGACACGACATTCATGACTAGTAAACATTGCATTGTTATTGTTATTTTAGCTTTGCCACAGGCATGCAGTTTGTTGAAAAAGAGATGCAGAACTTTGCCAGCAATAATCCTCTTTTTATATCTTTTACCACAGACTTGCGTTTAAACTGGATTTGGACTAAGTAAAGAGAATTTCCTGAAAATTAAGGGCTAACTGCCCCTCTCATTTGGGGGGAAAAACATGAAAGGGGACACATGACTTCCAACAGCTTGATGAATCTCACCTGGGAGGTTATCCTGCCTTTTCTTTCCTTCAGGAATAGGAGCTTAAGCTTCATCAGCGCTGTAGGCTTTGGCAAGAGCACGGAGGGTCCTGCAAAAGAAGGTGGTTTAGCAAGGTGGACGCTGGGCCGTTGGACCCGAGAGGCAACCCTTCCCTCCATGTTGCCCTTGCTTTCCTGGGCGCTCCATGGGAAGCCTGGGGGGTTGTCTCTGGGCTGGCTGCATCTCACACCGCGTGGTGTGCAGACTGCTCGTGCTGTCCTGGGCGCTGGCTTTGCCAGGACACTCTCCCACCGGGTGGTGAAGAGCTCAGAAGGTGCTGCACACCTTCCTGCCTCTTCCTCTGCCTCCGCCTCCAGGGTCCCCACAGCCCGGCCGGTCCGGTGGGCTGCTGAAGGAAAGGCGTGTTCCTATGCCAGAACCAGTACCGAGCCTGAAAGCAACCCGGACATCACTGGTGTGAGTGGAATGGGAGTTAGGGCCATGTTAATTGTACCATGGGACTTGGATAGTCCAGGACTCAGTTTCCCCACTCAGCAGCAACACTCTGTAGTCCCCACTGTCGGCATAACTGTTCCCTCTCCCACCAGATGCCTCTCTCAGCCACGAGGTGACTATCTGGACAGAGTTTCTGTCCACTGAACGCTGAGGAAAACAATTCTGCTCTTATTAATATGTCCAAAGGGAAAAATGTCACAGATGCGTCCAGTGTGCAGTCAGTGTATTAGATGCCCCAGCTGTTACACAACGCATCACACAATTATTGGTGATATCCTGCATCTCTGCAATTAATATATTTTTACTGTAAAATCCACTGCTGCGAGGTCTGTGTTTGTAAGATTAAGAGATTGCAACTCGGTGACTGGTATTATTAAAATGCATTTCATCTGGTGTACTCTCAGTCAGCAGGTTTGACACATTTCTTCATGGATTTTAAAATCCAATTTTAAAATCTGGAATTACGGGAGGTAGATTTCCACTGTGTGGAATGTGAATAGTTAAACAGAAAGATATGGATATTTAATGTTATTATTAATACAAATCCTCTTTCACTGGGTTAATAGGCAGGGGTTGTTTTCCTTTAAATTACTTTTTTTTTTTTGAGTTGGTTTGCAGGGGAAAGGGCCAATCTCAGTCGTTGCTGAAAGTTTTGTGCTAGCTAGGGTTTCTGGTCAAGAAATGGGCACACCTTAAGAATGATTTTTTTTTTTTCTTCATCTGAAGTTGACAGCAAAACTCTCATTGTCTTTTTCAGCGATGGGATTTCATCCTGGGCTGCTGTGTCCCTAAACCCTTAGCCATTAAGCAAAGCTTCAGACAGTACTGACTCCTTTATTTAAGATTGGGCTAGCTTTCTGAAGGAAAACTGATGAAAGTTTTACAAATCTTTATGTTCCAAACCAGCCTGTGCATAGGTCATGACGGAACTCCCCTTGAGGCAGATCCCCCCCACCATGTAAATTTTATATGAAGAACTTTTATGAATTGCTAGTTATTGCCTGAGAGTAAGAAAGTTCTGCTAACTTACAATTATACGAGATATTTAATATCAGCCACAATATGTATTTAAATGTCTGCTTTATTCTAAAAACAATGGACTATATAACCTAAGGCTGCAGTATTTTCATGCTCGGTCTCACAAAGCAAAACTTGGTTTAAAATGAAGTTTTAATTATTTTGTAACTGAATAGAATTGGAGTTTTTTCTTCCCAGCATTTTGTACGTCATTTTAACTACTAGTAACAAATAAATAAAATATCTTCTCCAGCCCATGTCTATTGTTGTTTGTTTTTTTTTTTTTTATTATTTCTTCCTTAAGTTTCCAGCTCTTTCTGGATCTGTTGTACTTTACTCTGACTTCTGTGGTTTCTTCTAATTATAAAAGGGCTTACATTATGACAATGAGACACAGAGGCAAGCAATGGCACCATCATTCAACACGGCTACTTCAATAAGTTTTTAAATGAGACCTGTCACTTCCCCCTCACCCTTCCACAATTTATAGAAGGAAAAATCATAATCTTTACTCACACTTTTCCCCTTGTAAACCATATAGTGACAGTGCAAAATATAGATGAGCCTTGAATTCTTGTAGAGTTAAAGTTGGAGTCGGCGTGCCTGCCTTACGCCTTATCTCGGTTTTACACCAAGTGAGCAGTTTATTCCCGCTTTTAGAAAAAAAGAGCAAGGAACACCTTTGCCACACAGCACGTTACAAGCTATAAATAGGGACAGAGAAGGTGAAACAATAAATATAAAAGAGAACAGGAAGATTTGTGATTTCCTTTTACCTTCTCCGTCCCTGCTGGCAGCACTTGAGCAAGGGCGGTGTCAAGGAAGGACTGCAACCACAGAGAACGGGTTTCTCCCAAATTTCCACCCCGCCGGTGGGAGGTGGGCAGGAGCGGTATAAATTTTACCTTTCCAACCTGCCACCCTGTCAGATGCATGAGGGACTCGGTCAGTCATTGCAGACCCCCGAGCAATCGCGCTGTCTGCAGCAGCGGTGGCATCCTCTGCCCTTCTGGAGAAAGTGGCTGTGACTGGGGTCACCGCCTCGCTGAACCGGACTAAGAACCGTCTCTGGTTTCACATCAGCTTCTAGGCAGTAATACAGGCCTGTTTCAGATGTACACCTTTTAGTGCCAAGGACTGACAATGACATAGTCGGATATACAATCTTAAGAGTGAACAACATGTAGTGTTCTCCTGTAGCACGCAGACAACCAGAGAAAAGGGCCAGATGTCCCGTTTCCAGGTCTGGAAAGCTGGGTGCTGGTAGGACCCAGTGCGGTTTTCCTTCATGCAAAGCCCTTGGGAAATAATGGAGCTGAGCAGTCTAGTAATACTGGTTGTCTGGGGTTTTTATGGACTTTTTGGTTTAGTCTTCCTTCTCTTCTAGCTTTTTTTTTTTTGTGCTTCTAAAACTTACTGAAAGGATGATAAGATTAAAATCATTATTTCTAAAAGGCAACTGACTTTTTCTGGTGTGGACAGAATAAGTTTCCTTGAAAAGATGTGCATATATATATTTATTTGAAGATTTAAGACAGAGAGAAACACTTCCTGGACTTACCTTTCTAGTAAGTCTACTTGTAGTACCATGGTCTTACTATTTAAATGCTAACAAGAGCAGACATGCACTGTAGTTTACATTAGCCCTACATACCAGCTCTGAATTGAAGATAAGTCCACTGCGAAGTCCCGTGTGCTTTACAGATAGTTACACCGATCAAAAGAAGACAGAGAGAGGGAATTCACACACCTTAATCAGCTTTCAGGGACACAGATGAAAATAAGACTGTTACTTTCTCTTTATTTCTCAGATTTCTGCTTGAGATTTCCGTGTGTGCTCTGTCACCCATGTGCTGCGCAGTTGTTTCGCACACACGTTATGGGACGGAGGCATCAAGAGCATGTCGGATTTGCTGAGCATGTGGGACACATCTGAGCAACACAGGCGCGCGGTGGGCATGGGGAGTCCTGGACGGGGTGGTGGAACAGGCAGCAGCGTGGCTCCGCTCCAGCCGCCTGTCAGCGGCGCTGCCTGGCTGGGAAGAGGGACATTGCATTCACAAAAACGATGCAGTAATTTAACCTTGTAATTTACCTTCTCCTGAGTGAAAAAAAAACCCACCAA